AACTCGAAGAACGCCAATGATGTCATCGGGAATTATGTCGAGACCTGCAATTACATAGACTCATCAGAGTCCTTATTCTTCTGTGACATCAATGCCAACTTAATTGACAAGTGGCGGTCAACAACTCAATGCCTTAAAACAAGCAACTCATTTGCATGTCAACTGAAGACAAGGGGCCCAGTAAGTGGATAATTGGGTTTTAAAATAAGTAGGAAGAAAAAACAAATGGCAATTGGCAAATGAAAGTGCTGGCAGCGATGTCAGCTAAGCTGGTTAATTATAGTTAGCCCCAAGCAGAATGACGAGGCAGAAAAAACTGCTAACCGCAAATAACTTATGTCGTCATTGTGTCAACGGCTGTTATCCTTTATGTATTAGGGGTTTTTGGGTTCTGGCCCTGTTCAGTTGACCGCAACAGTTTGAAATATGCCACTGGAAATTGAAAAACCAATTTTATTGACCCCCGGGCATCGAAAGTAAATGCTGCAGAGCATTGGAAATGATTGAAATGAAATTGCCATTTTATTGGAACGGAATTGGAAAAGGTCTGCGACTCAAATGTAATAATCAAATCAAGGAAGTTCCTTAAAAATAAAATATCTCAAGCATTATGGGTTTGCTTGGCTTTAGTTTCTTATGAGAAACGTTTCCCTTTTGGGCCAAATTTGGGTATTTTATTTTGAGTAGTGCTAACTAAAGTATCAATAGCTTTGGGCTCCAATTAAAGAAGCATAAAATGTCAGCGAGTGGCCAAATAATTTTAATAACCAAAATTGCAATACCGTCTGTGGGTGGATGGATTTTGCATGAGAAGTGCTGCTTGCGGTCGTTTTAAACAAACCGCAGGTGTTGCATACATTTGCCAGCTTTGCATTAATTATGACGTGTGTCTCGGTGGAAGGGACGTGGAAGAGGGGGCGGCTAGTGTCCAGGGGGCGTGGCGGTGGCGGTAAAACTATTTGCCGCACTTGCGACCAAAAGCTGCTAGCTCGTACGTAAAATTGTAGCATACTTATGGGCTAAAGTAATTTTATTGCCATGCACAGGAAGCTGCACAGACGACGACGACGACAAGGATTCCTGGAAGAGGTCCTGCGAACGGAGAGAGTGGCATTACGGAGCTCCCCGTAGGGCTCCTGCCACATCGTGTGACCCGTAAACTTTACAGTTTCTTTGTTTGGACTTGGCCCAACGTGCCGGTCCCCAAGTTTGTTGCCGCTCTTATTATTTTAGTTGGGTAGTTCTCGCCAGTTTCCTGTTGGCAACAGCACAGACAAAAATTTATTTCATTCCTCTTTTCAAAAAATTAAAAAAAAATAAAAATAACATACCAATGGCAAAATGGCAAGTAGTTATGTGAATAAAATCTCAGAGTTTTTGCAACTCATACTTTTTGAGAACCTCAAAGTGATTAGTACTATAAGCATTAACTTATCGGGCCCATGTTGTAATATCTTTATAATCTGAAACCTAGACCAACAAAGAATAAATCACAATTATGTTTTGTCTAGTGTTTTTTTAACTGGAGAGCGGATGAGGTTGGAATCCAGTGCCGTGGGTATGCGTCCGCACATAAAATGTTATTGCGAGAAACTATTAAATTTCTCTAGAGATGAAAATATGATCAGAAATTTAAATCGATTTATTAAAAGCCGTCGCAGTTGTGCGTTCAAGTGATTGGAGTTGGTGCGTTACTTGGCCAAAAAGGCAGCAGGACCTACAATTGCGCCAAGGAACATGTGTTGCCAAACAAAAGTTTTGCGGTCGAACGCCGAAAAGGTTTCCAATGTGAGACGACTTTTGATTGATGTGAGTGCAGTTTGAACAGTGGAAAAAGAAGGAAATGCACTATTTTTTATAATACCAAAATGTTAAATTGTAAATTAAAGAGAAAATATAAACAGTATTTGAGTAAATTGATAGCTTAGCACAGGTTCTTAGTTCATTGAAAATAATGGAAACCCACTGTGCCAAATTCCTTTTCCGAACCCTTGGACATCCGCATTGGCAGTCATATTTCGGTCAAAACTGGGAAAACCAAATTTACTATGTACGCCTAATGTCTAGACAAAGCTTCCCAATTACCTTATCCGATTACACGAAGATTTGCCCCACGAAGTGTGGCACGCTGACTACTAGAACTCCCCAGAAACCCGATCCCAAATATCCAGGAAACCCTTGACCCGGCATGCCTGGTACTCTTTGCCAGAAATCTTCATATTACTGTCCCTTTTTTGGGACAAGGCCCAACCCTCCGCTGTGGAGCGGAAAATGTTGAAATAATTTGGGCAAAAGAAATATTCTCACACCTTTGGCAGAGCGAAAAGCACTTAAGTGCCTTGGCCAGGACTCGGGTTTTAATTGAAGTGCAGTCCAAAGTCCTTGTGTGTGTGTCGTTTTTCAAGCAGGTGTAAAGTTAAATCATAAAATGAAATTAAAATAAACCAAAGCCAAAGCCAAATGAAGTACGGAAACACTCCAGAAAAAAGGGAAAGAAAAGGATTAAGCATGGCTAACTCGACATCCCAAAGGGTTTCCATTTGGCTCCCCTGGCTGCCATAATTAGCAGCCAGTTGGGCAACAAATTTTTGAGAAATTTTTTCACAATTTTTTACGTACATTTTTCGTGCGGAACGCAACATTTTGTTATTGAAAAATTCATGAGCCTTTGTCCAGTAAATTGACACAGGGAGCCAGTGGCGTGGCACACTCATTCGTACCCCTTTTTCAAGGGAAAAGTAAGAGAATCAATTCAATGCAAAGCAGTTACAAGCAAAAAATATACATATAATGTTATATTAAATGTTGTATTTAAAAAAAGGGTGCCATATGTTGTATATCTAATGTTCTAAACAAATCCACACACGGCTCTGTCCTTGGCCTGTGCAAACGTTTTTGTCATATTACAATATAATTTATTAAAATTCTTATTTGCAGCGCAAAGGACCTCGCAGGATGTGCGAAGGAGACGGCTAGAGAGAGAGATAGCTAAGGAGAACACTGTTTTAAAAGCAGAAAAGACTCGTTAGTGCTGAATTTTTAATAAAAAGCCACACATGATATCTCATATAATTTGGCATAATGGCACTCATACTTGGTTCCTCTTGTTATTTTAGCCGAGTGTAATTGCCTTTTGGTGGCCTTTAAATAGATAAATCCCGACCAAGCTCGCTTTTTTTGTTTTTTGAGCTGTCCTTTCCGCATTTGCATATGGAAAACGCAATCAAAACGCTCGAGAGTCAACAAAACCGCTAAGTAAACTCAAACAGAATGGTTGGTGGAAAAGTGGGTGGGAAACCCACCTGAAAGTCCGAACACATTATTCGATGGCTACGCACTTCTGTGAACTACAGCCAAATGCACACGCCCCCATGGAAATATATGTACCTACATATATACAAGTATATAAATGTATACATACGTATGTACACGACATCCGCCGACATTCAGATCCGGTATTCGATGTTTGTTTTTGCGGTTACGCCCCCAAAATCGACCGGCGAAATCGGGTGGGTCAGCTATATGACTATGAAGTTCATGAGTTATTCAAGGTAACAAGGTGTCTTTCAAGGTAACAAAACAATATTATTGAAAAATTGGACAAAAGTCTGTGGAAATCAGTTCTAAAATGGGTCAATAAACAGCACACGAAATTGATTAAACGGAAAGTACTTTCCACCCTTCGAAACTAATTTGGTGCAAGGAATTTTTCCAATTGTGCTTTCCAAGCCGAAGCACAGCAGAAATTTCCCCGCCCGCGCTATCTTTTAAGTTCGAAGAAAATTAGCCAAACAAATGATGCAAGAAGAAAAACCAAAATGCCAGGAACAGGCAATTAAAGAGCAACCAATACCCCAAACCAAAGAGCCGGATTTTCCACCGAACCTTCGGGGCAGCAGGCAGCCAAGCAAACGGAAAATTCATTACAAACAAATTAACAAATAAATCAAATTTCAATACGAAAATTTGTTTGCGAAAACAATTTTGAGACGGGTTGGTAAGTTCTGGGCAAAGGTACGGGGGGGCCATAGCTACACATACAAATGGCACGCCACGCCCCAACGCGGAAAATCCGGAAAAGGGGGCGGGATGTAGAATCCGCTTGACTGACAGGCGGCAAATCGTCTGAAGAACGGGCAGCGCACTTGAGAAATCATTTATCTAAATTAATTCCTGTCGTTTACATTTGCCAGAAACAAAGGCGGCGTGGGGAGTTTTCAGGATGAGCGGGCTGTTTTCTGGGCTTAGTTGATTTTAAATGCCAAAGAAGGCCAGAATCAAAGATTAAGACAAACATCTACCACTTGGCATCTTTCGGGTGGGATCCTGATGAAGATCCTGCCAATTGCCGGAAGCTAGACAAACTGACGCCTCAAGAACCCAGCCCACTGACAAATGACATGAAATCGCGTTTCGCGTTAATAACTCATTTCGAAATTCCACAACGAACGCCGAGCATACGTAGCCCACAACTGACAAAAACCAAGAGAAAAAAATAAAAAAAACCGGAATAACAATTAAAATTGTTCTTAGACTCGAATGGCAACATTTTCAACCCTTCAACGACGAATCCCCAGCTCGGTTTTCCCTCGAATTTCAGACGCAACGGGCGGTTTTTCGTCTGAGCAAAAGTTAGATACATCAAAATCGCGAGGGAAACGCGCGGTTTTTGACGTTAAGCTTGGTGGAAAGATGAAAAGTTCCACGGAGAGTGAGAGTTTTCCCCAAAACAACTATATATGCTTGTTTATGCAACTAAAATGAGAGGGAGAGTGCGGCAGAGACCCATACTTGCTGTTGGAATAATTGGTTCTGTCAAAAGCAGCAATTATAATGCCTAGGCCTCTCTATAAATGATATATCAAATGGAATATTTGATTGCACACTTCGTTCGCTGTCGTCAACAATAATCTTGTATAACTTGGTTAGATACAAGTTGGCGGCCAGCGAATTTTTTACTTTAAACTACATCTGTGTATTAGTTAAAATATTGCTTCGTATTAGATGTATCCTTATCCAATCGTAGGAACTTTGTGTATTTAATCTAATAGGTCAAGCACATTATTTGGCATTTATAGACTCTGTAGGTCATTACTGTAGGTAATTACTGTAGCTTAATTTATTCCCTTGGGCAACTTTTGGTGTGGAGGCTCCAGGAGAACGTTGTTCACAAACTCAGGTGTCTTGCGAGCATAGGCCACCACCAGCTTGTAGGCGGATAGGAACTTCTGATCCTCATTCTTATCGCCCTGCTGCAGATTCATGGATATAACGATCTCCATGAAGTCGTCCAGGAACGGTTCATGCAACTCCGAAGGCATCCGCTCCAGAAAAGGACAAATGGCCTGCACATTGTCTGTAAAGCAGCCACGGCAGCTGAGTAAAGTAATAGTTTTGAAATGATTAGTGGAGTAGCTTACCCTTTAGCGTTTTGGCGCCTTCATAGACAAACACCTCGTTGCGTATCTCCACATTGTGTTGCACGAAACCCACATCGTTCAGCAGCTGGCTGAACTCCTCGCCAGGATTTAGACTGTGGTGCAGCGGGGAGATAAACCGCTCCACATCCTGCATATAGGTCGACCACTTTTCCTTCGCTTTAAGTATCTTATACACTTCGTAGACCGGATTGGAGGCCAAAAAGGCCAGCAGGCAGTCGCCACCCTCGGGCTTCAGCAGACTGTAGATGTTGCCGAGTGCGGCCCTCAGGTTTTGCACCCAGTGGAGGCAGTAGAACGAGGTGACATGATCAAATCTGCCACCCAATCCCTCGGGCAGCCGCTCGCAGCCAATGTCCAGCACCTGGAAGCTGGTCCGCTCCTCCCGCTGGTACTGCTTGCTGGCATAGTGCACCATCTGGCTGGAGATGTCAGTGCCCACCAGTTGGCCGCCAGCCGGCAGCAGCGGCCTTACGAAGTCCATGAGCACGTTTCCAGATCCCGAGCCCACGTCCAGGAGGGCGTCCTCGCCATCGGCGCGCCACTGCAAGGTGGATGCAAACTCGTCCAGTATCAATTTGGCATCGTGCCTCTGCACCTGGTTGGCGTGCTGATACAGTGAGGCCTGATTCATCTCGACAACTGATCGGCGATTGGGGCGATCCCAGCTTTATATACGCGGCGATCGTGATGTCATCAGTTCACAGTTTCTAGTTTTTACTCTCGCCAGAAGTGCCACTCTCCAGCTGATGACGTCGAGCTAATTACGTACGTGTATTATTTATTTTTAAAGCTCTGTAATTTTATCGGTTCCGTTGGGGGAAAAACTACAGGGAGAGCGCGCCTACGACAGCTAGAAGATACACTGGTCCACAAAGTTCGGGCACTGCACCAACATTTGTTGACTAGGAAGTTTATCCTTTTTACAAAAAAATCAAACTGATAAAGTTAACCTTCGTTAATTGGGAAATTGATGCTACCTACACTAAAAGGGAATTTTTTAGAAGATACACTGGTCCACAAAGTTCGGACACTGCACCACCATTTGTTAACTAGGAAGTTTATCCTTTTTACAAAAAAATCAAACTTATAAAGCTAACATTCGTTAATTGGGAAATTGATGCTACCTACACTAAAAGGGAATTTTCCTAACTTACTATTATTTATTCTTAGTAAATTTATAATATTTATATACCGAGTAATTGCACTACCGTTAAGTATTCAATAGAATATAAGAAATTTAGAATCGAATCTTTCCGCTCGTAACAAACCTCGTGCTCATTTTTATCTCCAGAAATCGGGCGTGGAAAGCTCAAGTTCTAGGTCAATGGAGCTCGCTAATGCTTCCTTCATAGAATTATTAGACTTTCGAAGTACGTAACCAGGCATTGAAATGCAAATCAGCAGCGAACTTGAGCAAAACCCCTGGAAGTAAATTCCACGCGAAATTAACATAGTTTTCATGAGCAGTGTACCAGCCTCCAATTGAACAATGGCGATAAGCAAATGAGAATGCCCGAAAAACGATCCTAATTCTCGATGAGCCCCAAAGTGCAGAGGTATCAAAATGCTGGAGGTGCATTCAACTCGAGAAAGAATCAAAATTAGTAAAGCCAGTTCGATGACCTGCCCCAAGATCGGTTCCAAAACCCCGCAAGAGCATTTCATCTATTTCTGGATGAGTACAAGTACAAACCAATAATTGATGTTCGAACTAGACGGGGAAAGGGGAGCATTATTTTGGGCCCACACTTCGAGGCACTGGGAAATATAAATTCATTAAAAACATTCCATTTAGCTGCAAATTACATTTGTGTAATTGCTGGCAGGGCAGAAAGCGCAGCTCATGATATTTCAAATATTTCACATATGAGCACAACGACCGTTTGATGTCCTTGGGCTACAGGACATGCACACATCCACCACTCACGTTCAGGACAGAACATTCTCCAACACTCGGCACATCACATCCATATAAATTCATTTGCCAAGTGACATCAAAAGCCCTCGCTCGGATTCTGTTTCTGGCTTAATGTGTGTGGGCGTTACGGCTGGTTAATTGCATTTGTCGCAGACTCTTTTTGGCAACATGGGCAGAAGGCTGAAAGGGGTTACTCGGCTCGAAATCTCCGAGAGCTGTCGATTGGCTCGAGCTGTCACAGAGCCACGGAAATCAATTAAATCGGACGAACCAAACGGAGGCTTCTCCGTTTCGATTCACTTGGGAGTTTGCGTGTTTTCAGTTTCTTGGCTTTGGGTATTTTAATCAAGTTTATATTTTAACAAAGTTATCGGACATAAATGAATTATTCTGGGATATACGGATTTGTCATTTTCCTATTCTTGATTTATAACCATTCACTTTCCCAAGCATTACAATCATTTTTCAGTGGAAAAATGCCCTTTCTTACAGAAACTTTTGTAATCAGCAGTCGATTGAACTAAAATTAAATAGTGAGTCACTATACTTTTTCTTAGGCAACTGACTTAATAGATGTAGGTTTATGCATACTCTAACTTTACTTAAAATACGGTAACCCACTTTTCCTTAAATACATAAGCCCAAAGAAAAGTCTTATATACAAACTAAATATAACTAAATACTTTTTAATAGGCATAAGTCACATAAGTCTATATAGTCGCTTTCCTGAACCCAATCATTCCTTCAAAAAGCATTTCTTCAAGAGTAGGAATAAAAAGAAGTAAAAGTTGACAGAATCTCATAGTTTTATGTTATCCAATGGATTCACGAACCACCCTTGACTTTCGACTGCAGAACCTGCCAAATCTTTCCCAGAAATTATTCGCACTTGAAAACTATTTAAGTGCTATCTAACTGAGCAGTGGACTACATAGCAAGCCGTTCTGGATATTTGTGCATGTGGTATGGGGGTTGGCAGTAGAAACAACAAGAACTCCTGCATATGTTAAAATATCAAAATAACAAACACAGCAAGAAATCCGTATATGTTGGGAGCAAAAGGGTTGAGGGTGAAATGAGTTTTTAATGTCCCACAGGGGAATTCTTCTTGAGCTCAAGACAACCACACATACACTGAGAAAATGTCCGTGAAATGTGTATTAAATGCAGTGATTCAAATAATTCGTATTTCGGCCTAATTGGTCTTAATATAATTGTGGCTCTATTGAACAATACTTACCGAAACTGATCACAAGATTCTACTTGTTTGTCTTGTGGGTTTGAAGTTCGAAGTTTATCAGTCCAGTTTTGCCACGGATATTTTCAGCAGACAATCCAAAATCGAAAACTCATTTACAAAAACGTGCCTTTCAATAAACTTTAACTTTGCAAATTGAGTGATGTTAACCAAATATATTACCAATAATATATACCATAAAGTTATATTGAAATGGCAATAGTGCTACTTTAGTTGATTGGTTAGCTCATTTCTTGCAGTGTAAGAGCCAGGATAGAAGACTGGGCAATGCGGATTTAAAATACAAAGTAAACGGCGATTTGTTGTTATTGATTAGAGCGGACAGACCCAGACAAACATATGAGCTCATCCTTGGCTTCCTTCATCTTCTCGATTTCGCCACGAAAATTCAAGGGGCGATTTTCCTGTCTCCCAAGACGACGATGCCCGCAAACTTGATGAGTATTTAAAAGTTTTCCATTGTGTGTTTGATGAATATTTAATTAAGCATAAAAGGAGCGCAGCAAGAAAGGGCGGAACTTCGGCCAAGGGTTGCTACTGTTTCCCAGTGTTTTTCTTTTGTTTTTCATTTCCTTTTCGCCAAAAAACATCCTTTCCCATTTCCCAGCATTGTGTGGCGGGCTTAGAGAGTGCAAAAAAATAAAATAAAATCAATTAACGCTTCCTTGTTTCGATTTTGCTTTGGGCTTATTGTTATCTTTCCATGCCCTTTCCCAATCAAAATTTTAGCGGATATTTGACTGCATATATAATAAAGTTGGGTACATTTTCCCAAGCTAGTGTTTATTTTTCACAAATTTCACACAATTTAAGTACCTTAAAATGGGTTTTTAACCAGTTGAGCAAAGGAATTGTGAGACAAGGGCGCAAAATATAATTATAAATTAATATACCTAGAAATGCTACGAGTAAATATCAGCAAAACGAAAGATAATTTGAGCTGCACATGCAATTTCTTATTGTAGGAGTATCCAGAATTCACCAGGCTGATGCCCTTCGAGTATTTATATAATTTGTATTATATGAGTATTTTACAAGTTGTAAGCAGAGGACAGGCCCAAAAGAGCAGCGAAAATAATTAAATAGTAGAGAAAGCAGTGCGCCAAAAGAAAGTCACCGCCCTCCCCCACCCCTCTGCCCACTCAACCCTTTGTGCCACTTTCTTCCCCCGCAGATTTTTGTTTTTTCTCGGTGCCCAAAGAAGCCCACAAATAGCCAAAAGCTAGCGAGTGTTGGTGGCAGCCGCAGCCAACGAAATCCTTTTACATTTTATATATGTATATATATGCATATTGCTTCTTATATTAATTTGTTTTTCTTTTTCGATTTTTTGTTGGGCGTTGGGAAAATTAATTAAAAATTAAATGAATGAACGAACGCGCTGGGATAATGAGCCCCTAAGCTGATTTTGCGCTTAAAAGTATGCAATGGAAAAAATGTCGAGCTGCCCGAGTATGGCATTCAATAACAATTTCCACCCCACTGCCACGCCCACCGCCGCTGTACAGGTAACTCGCCTGCCACCCACCAAAACAACAACAACAAAAGGCGGGCAAAACTTGCAATTTTTGTCGCATTTTTTGTTCTTATTTTCCGCTGTTGTTTGTATTTTATTTTCGTTTAATATCGACAAAGAGCCAGGGGAAAAGAAATCAGTGGGGCGTGGGGGTTGCAGTAAAAAGCGAGCAGAGAAATGTTGTGAAATTTTCTTTAACGTAACAAAATATTTTTATAAAATAATCAAGTCTTCCTTTTGGGCTGTTTTGTTTGCAGCAAATTATTTTTAGCTTTGTGGAAGAGCGAACGTGAAAAACGTGGAGCGTTTTTCTCATTTTCTCATTTTTTTCGTCTTGTTTGGGTGTAAATTAAAATCGTCCGCATTGCGCTTTTTTATAATGAGCGAATTGTGGGTGGGGCAAACTCAATACTGAAGGACAGAAATAAAATTAATTAATAATGGCAAAATACTTCAATGGCGAACCCACAAAAAGCGAGCAAGAAACGATGATTAAAGGAAAAAATATGATAGGGCCAGAGGAATTTAAAAGGAATTTCGTAATGGATACTTTCGTGAGAAGAACTGTGCCAGTATATATCATTATTTCCCCTTGGTTATAATATTATTTCTACTTGAATTTACAAGTTCTTACTTAGCTGCCCGATTTGTAAGCAAAACTTGCGAATTAGCTTTGTCTCGGAATATGACCTTTTCCCACAGGACTGAAAGTCAAAGTCATAGCACCCCAAACCGCAAAACCTTCCAGCTACAAACCCCAACTAAATTTCAGCCATTCCCTGAAGAAGTATTAGGACAAGGACCAGAAGGGCGAGCACTATCAAAAGTCAATTACAATGCAATTATTGTGCGCCCAGGCAGTGGAAAAGCAGAAAACATTTTCGAAAGCCATTGCAAACTTTAATTGAAAATATCAAATTATTTTCGAGTTGGCGTCAGCATAAAAA